ATGTACAGCAATGGGATTGTCATTTTTGCACACAATTGATATGCCCCTTGGTTCATCCTTTCCGGGTCAGTTCCTCTGTCCAGGGTCTTATAGCATGAGCTGACAGATACTCAGCCACATCCAAATTGTCTATAGGCAGCTGAGCTGGGTGTCCGAAATACCTCCTGTTTGGAGCACCACTGGAGAACCGCCAGCGAAAACACGGTCAACATCTGTGAGATGGCCGAAGAAGTTGGCACTCCATGTCCTCTCCATCACACTCCACCTGTACTTTCAGATATACAGTATACACTGCTGCACACATTGTTCGTCAACATACTAGACGTCGCACTCATATTCCCCACACCAAAGCCCATCTGCACACGGTTTTCTCCGCTCGCCAGAGAGTACTGCTTTCGCTGCATACTGCTCATGCTAGCGATGTTCCGCATAAGGGTACTTAAATTATCGACTTGAGCAAGTTGAGGGAGCAGCAGAGTCCAGTGATTGTTTTTGCACTTGCAACCAATACTGGCATTGTCCCGGATATGTGCAGCGATGTCCATTCTGGCCAAATCATCGGCCGACTCACCTCCCAAGTCAGTGTCGATGCCAATCGCTTGCCAGGTTGTCATCAGAGTAGAATTCCTCGTCACAGCAGATCGTGGGACTACCAGCATCAATTCTTTTTACGCTCGATGAAAGTGTCGCCCTCAAATGACTCGTCGCTGTATCCATCATCGTCTTCCTTCTGTTTCCGACTCGAATCCCCAAAAATACTTTATCCTGCGCATGGAGTGCGATGATGTCGTCTTCTTCCGCTCCGCAGTACATTACTACTACTACGCTCTTCTGTCGATACATTGAGGACGATCAGTTTTAGGCGACTCAGCGCAACGTGGAATACAAACTCTAACAAATAAACTTACTTGCAACAGAAAATTGCATCCGGAACAGTCCAGTCGACCGAGGAGAACAACAACAGCAACTCGCGTTGCACTGCACTTCGTATTTTTTGCCGCGGAATTCAAATCGCGATTATCTCGACTTTTTCAAAAAAAGCTGTGGTCATGTTTTAGCGCGCTCGGGCTCATATTATCCTTGAACTGACTTGCATCACGCGTGCTTGACTCAAATTTCGAGACAAAACGGATTTCTTGAACGTCATCGCCAATCCAGGAGCGAACCAGAAGAGAGAATAATGTATTTTGAACTGCATGCAAAGCAACTCTCTCTCACTTCGAAATAAGGACATTGTCACTGTACTGTAAACTGCCCGTCGATCGACGCGTATGCACGATAACCAATCCAGGAGGCACGCTTTTCCTTTGGCAAGATTGCCCGAAAAAAGGTGGTTTCCAGACACCAAAAAACTCATACGGTGCACGTGCCTGATCACCGCCTGTATAGGCATTTACCCATAGCCAAACAAAAGTGGAAATATGTACATGCATGTCACTCGTGTACTATGCACTCAAGCCAAATACAGTGCTGGCTAGAGAAATGCAACCTTATGAAGAAAGTAGCGCCGCATTCGAGTGCACAGACAAGTATGTGTAGTGCTAGGGCTGCGTAGCGCCCCGCAACGCTATTTTATGCATGAGGTTGGATTTCTTTGGCCATTACTGTAGATACGCAGTGCTTAGATGAGAGTATCTGATACTCGTCCTTTGCGTCTTGAAGATGGCCCCGCACATCTGCAGTAGGTGGCACCGGGTGATGGGCCCTTTGGTCGAGGTCGAACGGAGGGCATCTAGGGGCTGTGACTGGCCTTTGCCTTCTTGGTGCTGGAATGGGCCTTGCTCTGCGTTCTGTTTCAGCGGCATGAGCAGGTCGAGGGGCCGGGATGGGCCTTAATTTTGCAAGCAACTCATCGATGTAAGCATCCATGTCTGTTGGACTTCATACACATGTAACTATGTATAAACTACTTCAAGTAATTTTTTCAATTGTGGATTTTCATGCCTCCCGAAGCATAAAAAGGAATGAGTTGGTCAAGCACGAAATGATCCATGTCCAACTGTGTGTGCATGCTTTCTAGGGGCTCCCGTAAGAAGGCCATAGGTCCGTGGGACACACCCTAGTAAAATAGGAGTATCGAAGTAATAACAATAATAATCATGATCCGCCTCACCTACCAATAATGTAGATCACGGTACGGGTATGATTTGGCCCACTCCTCGGTGTCTGAGAGCCCCACACACCAGGTGTAGACTGTAATTATTATTTACAGTGCAGGCGGTTTACTGTTAGCGCCCGAACTACACTGTATATCAAGAGTACAATCTCATAATGCTCTTGATCATATGCGCAGACACGTCGACAGTGCCAGCACTACAAAGTGCATAGCAGTACATGTCCAGCAGCTATGCAGTTGTAACTGTTACATGACTTGTGCCAGCATCTGTGCAACGAACGGCGTGCATAGGACTAGCTTGCTACTACGGCAACATAAGCCTTCTGCGCTTTGTGCAGATGCACGAAATCCCGTAGAACCTAATGGGTGTTGAATGTGCAGGACCCTATTGTGTTTTCTGCTATTTCCACTAAGAAATGGGCCCTGGAGGCATTTCAAACGAAAACCGTTTCTGACCAAAGATCTAGCTAGTCATTAGTTCTAACGAAAGTGAAGAAGCTGGAAAAGGGATTGTTTGCCATTAATTATGAGGCTAAAATTGGTCAAATGCGCATGCATAGCACACAATGAACACCCAATCGGGGCTGTACGCACCTACGCCCTAGTACTGAACTTCGTACATCTGTACAACGCGCAAAAGGCTTATTGCGCCAGCACACTGGATGCCAACATGACGCTGCACTAGCTGCTGTTCAGCTGGAACATTTGAACCAAGACTACAGCAAGCAAGATTCGACTAGTCGCCGGGTTTTGTCATTGTATTATCAAAGGGGAAGTTCACCCTAAAATGAAAACTTCACAACCTGTAGCGAAAAATGCACTGATGCCAATGGTGAAGGTCCCAGGTTGATCCGAGCAGCCGTTCCTGAGTTATACCAGCTTTAAGTTTCCACTAAATTTGGTGACATCATGATGACGTCATTAACTTGCCCAGACCAGGCCGGATTTATGACGTCAGAGAGGTAGACTTTGTGTGGGAGTAAATGGGGAAATTTCAGTATTTTGGCTCTCCGGCCATTGTCCCAAAGAAGTCGGATGTTTTTCAAACTTTGATATGAGACATATGACACCCTACCGGTATCCTGACTGGAAAAAATTCTAGTATGAAATTCATTGTTGCAGAGAAACAGGAAGGAAATTGTTTTTTCTCCATCTACTCCCATGCAACGTCTATCTCTCTGGCGTCATAAATCCGGCCTAGTCTGGGCAAGTTGATGACGTCATAATGATGTCACCAAATTTAGTGCAAACTTCAAGCTGGTATAACTCGGGGAACGGCTGCTCTGATCAACCTGGGACCTTCATCATTGGCATCAGTGCATTTTTTGCTACGAGTTGTGAAGTTTTCATTTTACGGTTAACTTCCCCTTTAACGGAAAGTCATCGCGACGGTTGGTAATTCCTCAAGACCGCTCAGCCAATATTAAAAAATGGACCACTTGAAGGAGTCCTCTAAACAGACGCTGGAAGCTAACCAATACTCGCTAGTCGAGTTGGAGGAAACTTTCAACCTTCACGCAAAAGAAAATGAAATGGTAGTGACTTTGCAGGAGAGCTTCGAAAACAACGTGCAGCACGAATTGATCAAAGTGGCAGTGGGCCAGGAAAGGCATGAAAAACACCAGGAAAGGCAGGTAGAACGCCTTCAACGTATGGAGGAACAGCTTCAACAACAGGGATCGGCCACACAACGTGTGGAGGAGCAGCTTCAACAACAGGGATTGGTGATAGGCAAAGCCATACGACGCCAACAAAACATTCACGGGTATATCGGAAGTCAGCTGCGACAAATTCGCAGGTGTTTAGAAAAGTAAACTGCAATGGTCACATTCTCATGTAGACCGTTTCGAGGGCCCCCTCCTTGTTTACCCAAAATGACCATGGTCACGCGTATTTCTATCTTTGTCTATACTGATGATTCGTCTCCTGCGTAACATAATGTCTGGTATGTAACTCTAAATCGATGTCATGCATTGCTAGCACACGCTTAGCAGTATGCTGGTCATGTGGTGCGAGTGGCAATATCCGCAGACCGTTTGTGTGCAATTTCATTTGCTTTTGCCAATTCTTTATGTACGCAAGGACCATTTGGCTTGCGATTTCTGCTCGAAGAGCTGAGCAAGGACTGGGGCAACGGTGGGATGCGGAGCGGCCGCCAATAAGCTGATGCATTCACCTTCCCTGCTGCTATACGTTCAACACTGACAGAGCCGACATACTGTCAGCATCGACATAATACATCACTAGAGAGGTTGGCAAGTGGCAGCCGCTGAACTTGGCACCGGAGGTAGTCGGATTGCGCTGTTGGAAGATGTTCAATTTATCTATGTGTACCCCCCCCTCTCATTCATTGATCAATTCATATTGTATTGGAGGGATTTTCCGAAAGTAACTACGTGCAGGGTACGTATGGGGAGCTTCATTTCCTGGAAAGGTGGATGGGAGAACATGGAAGTGAAGAGAGGTGGCGAAACTAGGGAATAGAACATCGCACACCCCTCGTTTTGTGGACTCAAGCCGAATTGATACAGGATTTTTTTAATCAGGGGCAATTAGCCCCCCCCCCCCCCCCACACACACCTACACAACTAAGTGCATGAACATCAGTCTGTCCTCTTAGACTCCAGACAAGACATATCCCCCCCCCCCCCCCACCACATCACCACCGACACAACTTAAGTGGCATATCACTATCGTCATTTACGGTGGAAGTGTGATTTTGAACTACCCCTATCTCCAGCATCCAAGCATGTATATATTGAACAACAGGTATCATGCATTGACAATGCTCTGTAGTAGTCATCACAGCGAGCTGGTGGTCAAATAAGCTGGAAGCATGGGCATTGCACCAGAGTGTAAAACAGTGCACACAACTACCACCCACCTGTGCGCCCGTCGTAGTCCCGCTGATCGGCAACCAAATGGTCAGTTGCCAGTACGGTCATATGCGATGACCTGATAGCCAACCTGTCTGGAGAAAATAAAGGGAAACGGCAAGTAAAGATCAGAGTTGGGTGAAGGTGTCATAAAACAATGAAAGAAGCCAGAGTGCACAGAATCATGAAGAAGAACGACGGGAGTGTAAGAAATAAGGTCTTCATCCGGACTCCTCGCAATTATAAACACAAGGAATGGCATAAGCATAAAATGCCAGGATCAAAAAGAAGTGGCAACATCGATGTCATAGTCCAAAACTGAGTGGTGGGATCATTAAATTGCCTACCTACATTATAGAGCAGGATGCCTGAAGAGTTCCAGGATGAAGATTTCCCATGCCGCAGGCTAGGTGTCGAGTACTGGAGCAACCTAGCGGATACACCCAGGTTATATCAACAGCAGCGGAATGGAATGCTGTCCAGTTGATGACGCTTGAGAAGTCAAGCTGAATGCTCCTGGCAATCCATCTGTCTAGTTAAATGCTCCTGGCAATCCACGTGTGCATTGCTCACCAGTCACAAAGGCACACACAGAAGAAATACCCTCCATCGTATCGTAACGTGAGATGACAGGCATAGGTATATTGCATAATTATCAGATGAGAGCGAGAAGGGGAGGGGGGGGGGGGGGGAGAGGGAGGGGGTCAGATCAGTTCGTTCTGCAGCTAGTGGTGGTAGGATAATTGGTTAATCCCCTAATGCTCAAGCGAGCACATGTTGACAACAACTTGGGAAGGGGTCACGGTATAATCTGAAACAGAGTGTGATTCCCATCATCTTAGGGCACACAGAAGGCAGCAATCAAGATCATCAAATTTAGGCTATGTTTACATGAGGCGTTTCAACCCGGGTCATATTTCAACCCGCCATGTACCCAAAATGAATGGCGCGTTTACATGACGCATTGCGCTTGACCCGGGTTGAAGTTTCGCCCCGGGTTGAAATCAACCCGGGTCAAGAAAATCGTACAAACGTACTTCTGTGCGTATCTCGCGCCAGGTTCGAACAGCACTGCATACGCAAATTTCGCGGGAACGGATTCACGCGACCATGCAGGACTCTAGAATTAAACTAGAAGTGGACTTTTGGCGGCATATCAGTATTTGACCCGAGTCAACTGTCTTCATGTAAACGCTCACCTATTTTGTCTATCGTACAGACTTTCAACCCGGGCTGAACTCGACCCGGGTTGAAATTTCTCATGTAAACACAGCCTAGGACAGTTCCCAAACTCATCTTAACACCGAAACCCCCGGGTAGGTATAAGTGCAAGTGAAGGAATGCCCGTGAAGCGCTCTTACAGCACCCTGGGAACATAACCTTATGGGCAAATCGCACCAACGTCTATAAGACGATTGACGCATACATCAGAAGTTATGAGCACAATGGTTGTACCACCGCCACTACAACCAGACCATCAAGGGGTTACACATACATTTGCAGTCGACTCCACTTAAATCAAATTGGACTATAGCGATTTTCGTAATAATAGCAAACCATTGTCCATGTCCCTGTTTGAGCTCATACTAAATTGACCCCTTGTAGCGAACATATTCCGTTTATAATGAACCATAAGTTGTAGGGCCGCATACAAACTAGGTTCACGAATACAGTCACAGGCCACATAACAGTCAACTGTATGTACATAGATGCTGGCGATAAATGGCAAGCGTTCTACGATGGTTCGATATGGAAATGTAAAACATGAGTTGAATGGTGCTGTCGCTAATCATATTCAATCTGCATTAAAAATGCAAAGATATACGAAATGCGCTCGGGATATTGGATGTGGATGTCACACAGAAACCTTCATACTGCCCGTTATTGCTTTGAATCAACTGGTTAGCAGTTTAGCAGGCTGTTAGTTTTCACAAAAGAATAATAAAGAAGAAATCATAAACTCATATCGGGCAGCATGAGACCTCTGTGCACATCCTCCAATATCCATCAGCTTGGTCAGTCGTGTCTTTGAAATTCACTTAAAACCAGGATTCGGAAATAGGAACAATTTACAGAGGCATCATATCGAAGTACACCCTATCGCCAGCATCTGAACCTCTGCATCGGTCAAAGAGCCCTATGAACTGAGCCTATTGACAGCATTGCTTTTCTGAGCATACAGCCAAGGCGAATATGGCGATTGTGTAGTGCTGGTAAGCACAAGAGCGTTCAACACGGCCTGAATGTGAACCCCCCAACCTCTACTACAGTCAAGCAATGTGTCCCTCCAAAGATTTGCTCTTTCCAAAACATGTCGCACCGTGTCGAAAATATTCGTATTATTATTGCTGCTCAGCGACCAAAACACATGTAGGTCGACACGCGTGGACATACAACACTGTCTGAGTCACAGGAATGTCCACTCATCTAACATTAACAACCACCAGGCCACAAAGAGCACAAGTTTTTTTTACCTTTTTATTTGGGAGCAATGCGGAACACAACTCCATTCCGTAGCAATTCTGTTCGATGCGCTCCGTTGCGTGTATTCCTGTCGTCCTCGCGTCGCTATAGTAATTCAGTGCAGAGTCCAGGTGTCTCGAACGAACGATGATAAACTACCTGCATTGAAAAAGGACAACGAAGAAATGAGTGACCTGAAACGTTCTGGATTTTAGGAAACGCGAAATACCTTGTCGTAGTATCCGCCGCAAACAATGGAGAGAGTAAACATTCTTCAACACCACAACGAGGAAGTGCAGTGCCGACAGACGGGTACCGCACTCTCCAAACATAGCAGATTATACTCACCTTGCCAGAAGCTGAGTGCTTGCCATAGATCCAGACATTCAACAATAATTTCAATGCGCACTGCAAAGCGTCGTTGACGAAATGTTCATCAAGAATAGGCTTGATAACAAAGCGTTGGTGGAGTCCTGGTCTTGGCACGGCTCAATAGGTGCTAGGCGAAAAAGTGCTAGGTGCTAGCCGAAATAGCGAGTGAAGAATTTAGTCACAGTTCAGGCACTACAAGCCACAAAGCGCAACGGACCTATGTCCACAAGACGACAAATAAACTGCACTACGCACGACGAACTACATTGAAGTACTACTACCGAACATGAACACGTGCTTACATCGACTTCTTGTTGGGCAACACTCTCCCACGGAACGCACGCATGCGCAGATCAACTTTGAATGGCAGCGACTCCTCCATTCGCCTTGCAGGAAAGACAAGAACAAAACAAGAAGGGCATGACAGTTAGGTACGTGGGTAATGAAGCAGCAGAGAAACAATGTGGATACTGCTGGCGTGGGGTTGGAGGAGAACAGACGCTGCCATGGCCCATGCGGATGATTCCAAACAAATGAAGCCTTGCGACTCGGAGCGGAAAGACGACTCAGAAATTCTTGCTAAAGCCATGACAAACAAATCCAAGCACTTACCGACACTGAAGTCTGCGGTCTAAACTTCTCACGGACCTGCTGCTATTTAGCGCAACTCTGGCATTATCTCGCATACCGGTACACCGTTTTGCCAAAATTCTCCAAGATGGACAGCTTTTCATGCAGTCGCTATCTACTGCGCGAGGGCACCCGTGCCTTCAGTAGCGAGCGGTCTGGGATCTGGTCCGCCATTATCAGAGGGCACTTGAGACTTTTTCCGGTCACCGGGTGGGCATCGTACATACACACACACCAACACAACTCACAACTCAATTTATCTCAAATACAATTTTGTACGAGAGCACATCACCTCTAACAGCTAGCCATGAAGAGGAAACTGGGAGAGAGAACTGAAACGCAAACCATTTTCGACAAGAACAACAACGGGAAGGAAAATGTGCCGTTAGGGCGCTTGGATAAACACCGCAGCTGCCAGAAGCTCGTAGGAGCAGAATGATGTATATGGGGTCATAGGGTTACGGGGTCATAGGGTCATGGGGTCAGGCTCAAGACGACTGGAGACCATTACGTCTAGCCCGCGTGTGGTCTGTCTAGACTAGACGTCTTCGTCGGTCATTGCCATTGGCATTCGTCCAGTGGTTGATCGTCAATGATCGACCTAGCGTGAAGCAGGCATTGGTACACTGCACCTACCGGTAAGTCCTTACGCGCGTGACTTGAGTCTGCCACGTGAAATAAGCACGTCACATGTGGCAGACTTGACCCAAGTCACACGAGGTTCGATGTGTTCGGCCAATGCCCGGTTCAAGCTACTGCTACGAGTACATGTAGATCTACATGTAGTACAACATATTAGTGAGGTTTTGCATTCCGAAATTCGGCAAAAAGATTCGGCACGCGGGAGCGAGGTCGAAAATGCACACGAAGATTCGGCATGTTTGTTCGGAAAAAGCTCACTTTGCCGAAAATATTTTTCGGATGAATTTTCTTGTAGAAGAGCGCTAGCGCGTGATTTATTCAAAGAGGTTTCTTATATCGGCATCGCTTCGCAGGCGTCTTGGGCGCATCAGCATCGCAAGCTACTTCTGATTGCTCCTCTCCACTGCCTGTCTACTCTCTATCGCCTGGAGTGCCGTTGGAATCAGCAAGAAAGGGAGCACGGGACAGGACGTTGCTGATGCTGGGGCTCACATGAAAACACATCATTTTCGACTTGCAAAACAAACGTTGGAGCGAAAATTCGACATTTTGATGTTCGACAAATGACCGAAGAACGCCGAACCGAAATTCGGAATGCAAAACCTCACTATTGCAGGTCGCTTTTCCGACTGTTTCTCCGACACTGGCTCCGAGCCTCCGACCTGAAATCTCCCGCCTGGGTCGGAATACTGTACCTGTTCACACATAACGTCGCCTGTCTGTAGAAGCACGAACCCTTGGTAGATCTACACAGCCGCGCTAGACCGCATCAGTACCGACAGTAGGTCTACTAGCACCAGATTATTAGATAATCCAACACTTGTGGTACAGTACCAGTATTAGATAAACCTTGTTATAGTTCACAACCGCAATACTACTAGTAGTAGTAGAAGCCAAAGCGGAAGTGAGATACTTTTACATGAGCCACAGCGCCAAACGCCTGACATGACAAGCTTCTAGAACTTTAAAAAAGTACATGTAGATCTACTTGAGAACGGTTTTATTCACAACACTATGAAGAGTCAAAGCAAAAAGATAACCCCATTTCGGAAATAAATAGAACCCTCACTGTATAAAATTGAACGCAAAAGCTTCTCAAGAAATCGTTACCTACAATAAGAATGCCTACCGGCATGCAAAGGCGAACGGTCACGCCTCTGCCCGTGTCAGCACAGCCGGCGGCGATAAGCTGCAAAGGGGCTCCCGACCTTGCGGCGCACTTTCTGACTGTTTATCATCATGATCTTGTTACAGACGTGGATGGTTGCTGGACAACTCGTTCTCATTGTGTTTTCTTCTCTCTCATATTCAATGTCTAAATTGTTCGAGCCTATTCATAGGCTTCGGTTTGAGGATGGAGGTTGGGGCTGCTGATGCCACTGGGAGCACAGTGGTGATGTAGAGTTTGCACCTGATGTTGAAGCAGAGAGCGATGATGAACTGCTGGCGAGTCCACAATAATCTGTTCCCCCTGCTCCAGCAACTAACAACGCTACTACTGGAACAAGCCGAACGGAGAGTAGACGTGAATATGCAATTGCCATTGGATGGAGTGAAATGATCCCAGCCAACGACTTGCCAGAGTTCACAGGTTCCCCAGGCCTGCGAGTGGAGCTGTCTCCTGAACAAATCAGGTCACCCGGCCGGTTGTCCCTATTCGTGTTGTATATCACTGAGGATATGCTGAAGGTAGCGTGTGCACAAACAAATTTGTATTTTTATCAACGAGCTACTGATGTTTGTCTTGAGGAGGCTGCTCATGCCAGAGAGTGGACCATTATCACCCATACCCCAGCATGCCTCTAGGAAGTTGTTTGGCCTTGATGAGGTTTGCTGCTCAGCTATCAAACACTGAAGCAATTATACTAGGGCTCAAACGGTCACGGTTTTACCCCCAACGGTTAACTGCTAAGCTAACGGTCGGTTTAACGGTTATAACCTATAAGCCACGACAATCCTGCGGACTCTTTTTTAACCGTATATTTGACTACACTTATTCAAAAAATGTACCCTATTCAGTACAACGCACACATGTATATTCTCTTGCATGCTCATTCATACATACTCTCACACGAAGAGACCAGATATGACCGGGTTGACAGCCCAGAAATTGCGTACGCGTGCGACAGCCTGCGAAAGTGCATACTTTGAAACGACCTGATACTTGAAATTGACTGAAAAGTTACTGCGAAACCGTTATCTTTATCAGTTAACCGTTAATTCTTCGTAACCGGTCTGCAACCGGTTAATCGGACTAACCGTTTGAGCCCTAAATTATACCGTAAAGTCTGCTGCAAACGCCCACTTCGCGGCAAACGCCCACCGCAGTGGGTTCATACTGGCATGAAGGTCGAATGCGTACGAGAACGACTGTAATGCCTACAAACTGCCTACGTTTTTGACTTTAGGAGGCTTTGCAAAATCGATTGTCATTATCTTGCTGCGAAGAAAAATTTCTGTCGAGATTTCCTTTCATTCGATAAATGAGTCGTCTTTTTGGTAGTTCGCTCTCCATAATTTATGGTAATGCTGTAGAATCCATCTGCTTTTCAAATCATGAAATTTCTGCAGTGCCACGATGTTGCGCTTTCAGAACGGAACGATGATTGTGATGACGAAGCGTCATTCAACGACTTGTCCGGTTGAATACAGCTGCAAGTCGAACAGGGTATGTCACACAAGCTACACCTACAGAGTCGCTGCTAACTTGTTGAAAACTCTGAAGTGCTCGAGGAAACCCCTTTCCTTTGAGCGTTGCTTAATTTGGAAATGATGGCTTGAAACACCGTCAGAAGTGTATTTGGTTTCTGCAAAACCGTAGGCACTGTTCTTCGCTACCTTGTTATTCGGAAGAAACTCCCGTTTGGATTTGCGAAGTAAAACAACCATCATCATAAAATCACTACGAGCTACATGTATAAAAGGAGGCGCCATCGCGTGTTTGTGTTCAGCAACAACAGCTAGCTGGTAGCTAGTGCCTAAAGAGATTTGAAGCCAGGAACGTGGACATAGTTTACCGTAGCAAAGCGCTCTTTGCGCTACACTGTGAGATGCACTTTCGTACAGTAAGGGGGGACAGTGCATGGGGTCAGTGAGTTCAGGCCGGCAGATCTTGGAAAAATGGGGTGGGCATTATGGCCGTCATCACGCTTCGTTCTCCGACTCCCGTTTACGTCTAGGTCTACGGTGAAAAAACCAAAACGGGTGGTCGTGTCATCAGACAGGCACAGTTCTTGACGCGTACCCGCAGTCACATTTTTGGAGAAATTTGAATGCACGTACATCGAAGTACAGAGTTGCTCAGAAAAAGGCTGGGGAGATACGCACGTTCATCCAAAAAGTCGTATACCCCCCCCCCCCTCTCTCCCTACCACATCTACATTTCCCGTTTCCTCTGCTCCAGTTTTCACCCCGGATACGGATCATCATGACAACCGACTAAAAACTCCTTACGTGGACGTGAAATAGGCAATAATTCGTACTTACCTTGGCTACCATCGATACAACATAAGTTGTCGATGCTTCAACTCGTTATAAGATAATTGAAAATCTCCAACATAGCTCTTCCTTGGATGCAAAATATGGTCCATATCTACGAATACATAGATATAATAAGTTGTGTCTTTCTGTTTTCTGCTGTGTGTTTTGGCCTTGGTCCTGAATGGTCAATATTATCTTATACTGAGGGTTTGGCACTCCAGGGACCTGGGCAAAGGGTCGTTATAACGAATTTTATGTACTAAAGAATTATATTGTAACCGGACCTGTAAGCAGCTGTATAGGCCACGTTTCGCCAGGGATTTCAGATTTCTATTCACTATCGGGGTTTATGTCCTAACCGGACTCGTTATAATGAGGGAGGACCTGTATTTTATTCATGCAATGTCGACACTACGCCAATGAAAACGTGCGTTCAGTGTGAGATTCAGAATATCTATCTGAGGCTGGGTGTATCTCGATTTAAAATCGGCGAGGAGACAATAATTTGATAATCGCAATCAGCAAGACAAGATGAATCGACAATTTTGTATATACTTTATTCATGCAATGTCGACACAACGGCAATGAAAACGTGCTTTCAGCGTAAGATTCACAATAATTATCTATCTGAGGCTGGGTGTATCTCGATTTAAAATATTTAAAAACGAACGGCGAGGAGACAATAATTTGATAACCGCAATCAGTAAGACAAGCTGAATCGACATTTGTGTATACTTTATTCATGCATGCAATGTCGACACTACGGCAATGAAAACGTGCTTTCAGGATAAGATTCAGAATTATCTACATTGTATCTGAGGCTGGGTGTATCTCAAAGTGTTAGGAAATTAGAGGCCACATGCCACGTATTGCTCTTTTCTCTCCGAAACTCAACACTTGCAAGCCAGATATGAAAGAAAGAAAAATCATCAGTCACACCACCGGGACTCGAAACAGGGACCTTGCCGGTGTATCTCGATATTAAAATATTTAAACGAACGGCGAGGAGACAATAATTTAATAATCGCAATCAGTAAGACAAGCTGAATCGACATCTGTGTATACTTTATTCATGCAATGTCGATACAACGGCAATGAAAACGTGCTTTCAGCTTAAGATTCAGAATATCTATCTGAAACTTGTCTTACTAATTGCGGTTATCAAATTATTGTCTCCTCGCCGTTTGTTTAAATATATTAAATCGAGATACACCCAGCCTCAGATAGAGGGACGAGTGAAAAGAGAAATGAAAAATAGAGCAGAAAGGAAGATGCAACTGGAAGGAAAGAAAAACGCAATTCTGTCGCGTCACTAGCCATTGGCAGATGATACCAGAGAAAAAATCTATAAGAATCCTGCACTTTTTCTGGTATGTTTCTGCTTGTTTGGTATGTGGATAAAGAAATGCAGTAGAATTCAAGGAAGTGCCTGCCATAAGGTTTGTATGGGTTTGCCACTGCTTTTCGAGCAATACCCGCCAAGGGCTACTAGTCACCACTTTGTTTCTTTTTATTTATTTATTTAGGCCAGTGTAGCTACTGGTTCGTCTTGGAGTCAGACGTGGGCAACTTCATTTCTTTCGGTTTTATTAATTTTCATACACTCTGCGACAGTGCCGCTTGTTGCTCGAGTTTCGTCACAGAGCGCTAGCAAAACTGGAAATATAGCAGCTAGTGACCTCAGTCACTTTACGTATACTCCCAGAACGTCTTGGATAGCCACCACGACTCCTGGCGTGATTATCATCAGTTGTAATTACATCTGAATGCGCAACGTGAAAGACGGAAACAAAGCTTTTCTCCTGTCGGACTCTGAGTTTCGTGATTTTACCGATCATCACACAGCCAACTGACTGCAATTTGCTGCGTTTTAGGCCCTGCAGGTGATTTGAGCACTGTCATGAGCTACTACAATTACACCCCCCCCCCCCCAGTGTGATATGGGAATATGTAACTCAGCAAGAAGCATTCCATCCATTAGGACTGTACTATATGCATAGTCTTATTCAAATCAAAACCAGTCTGGAAACACGGGAAATATCAATCGATGGCAAATGTGGGCATGAAATGCTCATCGTCAGTCCAAGCTGAACCGTGAACGTTAAAAAAAGTCTTTAAAAATCATCTACGCATAGACTTACTTTAGACGGAATGTTTGTCAATAAGATGCACATTGAACATTGTTTACATCTTAGATGGTACATATCTTAACCTATTGGCAGTATTGCAAACAAACTGAAATGTGAATTGAGCGTATTACGTTGAAAAGTTATCTTAGGATCGAGTTTATGTCGCCTATGAAAATATCCATGAAAATACGAGAAGAATTATTGCATCCATTAGAAGAGTCATTACACCAAAATGATTAAGCTTAGAAGTTACCATAATTTGCATCTATCCTTTAAATTCAGCAGCGTGCAGCAAGTACAGGTTTCTGTTTTACTTATAATCATTATTGCCATTGTGTTTTAATCGCAGGTTTTGATAGTTCAAAAATGCTAAAATGTCAGATGTTATTACTTTGAAGTAGTTAGTAAATTTGTCAATGCATTCCTCCTGAGAAGCAACAGCGTTTCCAGATAGGATGTCTTGCTTTTTTGTTTTCCTATACTTCACATTTTGTTGGAGATTATTGTTGAAAAGTTCATGAATCATGGAATTTGTAAGCTTGGTCTCTTATCACAACCACTAGACTGAGAAAGAAGTGATGAGTGAATCAACTTCATAATTTAACTAAACTGTTCTGTAGTACGACTGAAGATTTCTCAAGACAGGTCAGAAAGGCTGCCAGCGAGATCCAGTTCTTGCTTGACTGTACATGTATTCTCCGTGGATGCTGCCGAGTCCAATGACTGTGAAAGATTGACAGCACATTGTGAGGGAGGGACACCACATGCTGCACACCTCGGATAGTGGTCAATTACGATCTTCTGGCTGGCTACTATCCTCCTAAGTTGCTCTATTGTCTCTTCCTGTTCCTGCATTTTCTGCCAGTCCTCTGCAGCCTTCTTCTTCGTCTTCTCTCTGCAACGCGAGGCGGCCAGCTTATTTCGGTTGCGGCGTTTCACTAGTCTCGCTTGGGTTTTCTTCTCCTTTTGTTCGTTGTCGAGTATGACGGCCTGCTGCATAGATAAAAACATAAGCATGGGAAGAAGTACAAATTGGCGAGCGCTTTATACCATTATCATTGTGAGAAGAACTGCACATCATTACCATCCGTTTCTATTCCCCAATGTCGCCTTCCCAAAAATGCATATAACCTATTTTCCCCGAATATAAGTCGCACCATTTTACACTTCACATCAGGGCCAACAGAGGGGTGCGACTTATAATCAACCATGACTTACAACTGAAGTGAATATAATCAAAACGATAATGACATGGACCTGGAAATGGGGGGGGGGGGGGGGGGTGCCAATCACCGTCGAGTGCGACCTATAATCGGGGAAATAGGGCACATGTACATGTCGTCAATAGTGATGCTATGAAAACAATTGACTGTGCTGGCATTTCAACACACACGCCCGCACACACACACACACACACATCAAGTACCACACACACACACACACACAAAGCAACGTAGGTAGTTATGAAGTCAATGGCAGTGCTTTTTAAAAGTAGAGCACACGTCGTTAACAATCAGGTACTGAGCTTACCTGCATTACATTAGCCAAGTCGGAAGAGCCAAACAGACCAAATTGAGAAACTGGGGAAACCTGATCAGTACTCGACAGGGAAAGATGTGATGATCCTAGCGATGATGCTGGCACTGGCGGTGTCTGAAGGTCCCCATAGCAGGATTGAAGAGGCGGTGAACTGCCTTTTGACTGGTTCAGGAAGTTCACGTTCATGTCCAATTCTATAGGCCTTGAAATATTGATTGGGCTCTCACAATTTTTAAAGATGCTTGAGCAGGCGACGTCGTTGTTAGTGTTGGCCACGGCGATGTTTCCCAGTGCACTCATGTCCAAAGACGCTGACCCGGGTGCGGTGTTTACCAGTGCACTCATGTCCAAAGACGCTGACCCTTGTGCAGTGGTTCCCAATGCACTCATATCCAAAGATATGTTGGCCACTGTGGTGCTTCCCATTGCACTCATATCCAAAGGCATGTTGGCCACTGTGGTGTTTCCCATTGCACTAATATCCAAAGCCGGTAACTGGGAGCGAAGACGGGCCCTCAGTTGTGCCACTGAAGGTCTTGGGCCCTCCGCATGCTGTCGCTGTAGAGCGGCACGGCGAGGTACATTATCGACCTGTGTTCGAACCGCAGACGTGGCGAGGCTGCCATCAGCTACTGACTGACAAGGCGTGTATGGTAGTTGCGGTTTACAAGCAGACGAAGTGAATGCTTGCTCTATCTGGCATTGTTGGTTGCGTGGGGCGACATTTTGGTCAATCAAGGGTGTCAGGGATTGATGAACCTGAGCCGGCTGAGGAGGAGCAAATCAACAGAACGAGTAGAAATGGTTGCAATAACGTTCAGAGCTTTCGAACAATTTCCTCTGCCATCTCTCACTCCTATAACCTGTCTCGCTGAATTCAGACATGCCCTGTACCAGCAATTTTGTCAATGCACTGTGATGGCATACCAACCGCATTGCTTTTGCAATTGCGTTGCTTGCTTGTATTCTTTGTTTTCTAGTGCTCCCCAGAATTAAAACGTGAAATTTCTTTTCCCTACGTGGGGAGAAATGTTTTATAGGAACATGTATATGCAACATTATAGGTTAGTGCAGGGCACGGAGGGCCATATGGCTTGTTCGTATCCGACAGGTTAGCCCATTTGTCCACGGCTGGCGGAACCTTATGACAACCCAAGATCGAACTCATTATAGGTATAGAAATGTACAATGTAGCTCCGGAAGGCCGAGTCGAAGCCCCTAAACAGCTCCACAAGCTATCTATAAGAATCAAGCTCACAATAATAGTCAAGCGTTTCATTTGCTTTGATTCTCCTTTTAGTAGTGCTCACTACTCTGTGCTATTTAGTTACAAGAAGAAAATGTGCTATAATGCCATTACCATACCAAATTCTCTCTCCACCCAGCTAAACCACAAAGTATCTCAAGGGTACACAACTATACTGCGCGCTAGGCCTTACATTGAAACTCAACAGTCATTTGCCAAAGGAGACATACCGTATTATCTCTAATATAAGCACGGTCCTTTATTTTTTCAATGTACCTCCGCCCCGTGCTATTAATGGAGACGTTCCTTTATTGGAGACTGTTCCATTATTATTTCAACCTCATTTCAGAGGCATGTTGCCATGCCAAGTTTATATGTCAGACACACACATTTCAGGGTTTTTTTCGCCGGTACAGATAATGAATTTACACAGTGTGCTTATAATGGAGACTGAGCACTTTATTTTTTGAATGCCGCCCCAAGGTGTTCTATTATTGGAGACGTGCTATTATTGGAGACGTGCTATTCTTGGAGACTGTGCTTATATTAGAGATAATACAGTAGCTTGAAAATTGACTGCATGTACACTGTACTTGGTTAGCTTCTATGCATGGGGATAGTAACCTCTTTCTAAAAATAGTTAGTGCATGGAAGATCGGGCCTAATGCATAAGTAATGGCTTGTTTGCGCCCTTCAGGTTGTTGGGCACTAACAAGCCCGATGATAAGGCCACCCCCCGCCATGCAATAACCTATAAGTAAAAATGAAATGCAAAATCGGTGAAGATACCATTTCGTTGCCAAAAATTGCACTCTTTCCTGGCAGTCATTGGCGGATACTAAGCTTGTTATGTACCAGACGTTACAAGTCGTGCGGAGAGGATGTTTCAACAAAATAATAATTACACCTTTCAATTTGGGGAGCTACACTTACATTTGGCAAGTCCGATAGAAAGATGTTGCTGGTTGAACCACTCATATCCAGAGCAGGAAGCCGAGCGACATCTGAATCAAAACTGTATATGAAGTTTGATGTCCTGTCCAACAATGGCTGCACATACCGACCATTCATCTTGGTGAAAGGCTGAGAGGCTTGGCTACTGGAAAATGGCGAAGTTAGTTCAGATTGAGTTTCGTGTATTTACGGACTCTCCAGAGGTACTAGTAAATGGATACCTATCATGGGAGTCTCACCAAACCAATAAAATAATGAAAATAAAATTTCAAAATCTGAGGGAAAGTCTTGAACAGACCGACATCATGTCGGTTGCATCAGGTCTGATCCTCTCCTCTACACCGAGCACAGGTTTTATTATCATGCACGGAGCTGTCAAGTGGGTGCTGGAACATCAGCTGCTGTGTCCTGCGGGACTAGCGTGATCGAGTGCTGCTCGACCTGTCCCGCGCTGCCTCGGGATGAGTGGGAAAATCAAGAGGGTGTGTGGGGAGTTCAATTGATTGCTTGCGGATCAGCACAACGGGGATGGAGTAAATGGCGAAGGCTGTGTTCAGCACGTGGCCAATATTGACAGTGACAAAGTCCCGCAGTGACAGCGAACCGTCGACACTCGACTCGACAAGTCACTTTCTGCTGCTCTCACTCAGTCTCGTGAGTCAGTCAGCTAGACCAACAGCCCTTGACTCAAGTCTTGACCTTTGAGTTTGAGGCGCGTAGTACTCAGGTACTAGTATCATAATTATTTATCCGAAACAACGCACAGACCAGTGCATAATTTTCAAAGCGGAGGATCGATGGTGAGATCTATGGACATTAGAAGTTTCTCACCTATCGCAGTATGGGGCCGAAGAAACCGGTCCGCATCTCTCACCCCAGTCAGGCTATGCGACGCCGCGGGAGAGGTGTTATGATTACGCTCGAATGAAATTCGCCCAGCAGAACTCATTTTGTTTTTTTGTCCTGACACGCTGCCCACGCGCACGCAGAAAGGCATAGTTCTCGTCATTGCAAAAATAATCGCGCCCCTGATGGCGTACTGGCTATCGCTGTGTCCCTGGCGTAGGCCCTCTGGCCAAGGGCTTTCCAGAAAGCCCAAGAACAGCATAATGGGCCAAAGAACACCAAGGACGGTAACATAGTTACGATCATACGACGGTGCTCGCCAGTGCATGTGAAAATGCATTGGACGAATTGTGACAGGTTCCTCTCCAGGATTCTATAAACATACATGTACAATGTACTCCAGAACGCAGTAATGATCAGCAGTGAGGAGTGCCGCAAGTGATATTATTAGGTGGTTTGCCCGACGTTTCTCTGTGTGAGCTCCAAAGGACCAAACGCAGGCCTACGCCCACGCACATTTTCCACCAATGCTAACAATATCACAGGCATTGGCATTGGCATTGGCATTGGTGCTTGAAACCAGGCGATGTACTAGTACATGTAGTAGTGTACAATACCGGTACTAGTACTCCTTGAAATGTAGCACTTCTCTTTCCTGATGAGAAACGCTAAGCACAGATCTGAAGAGGAACGTGTCCCAGCGAGAGTGCTTGAGTGTATCTTTTGTCATGCTGCGTGCTCGGCTAGCACTGGTGATACTGGAAGTGCTATTAATTAAGAGCATTGCAATACAATTCACCAGGTACACGTACATTCATGTTAGCTAGCCGGCTCACGTAGCGTACAGGGAACAAACATTGCCGCAAAGACCAAATTAGGAGTGCGCGTCAGTAGTCAAACTTTCGTAAATGAGGATTTCGAGAAGGTTCGACTGTCCTCATTGCGGCTGAATGCAAATGACTGAATGCCGATCACAAACTACACTGTAGAATAGCATGGCTTGATCTGCTTGCCAAGTAAAAGTTAGTTCGTTGCCCATTCTCTGACCCTCAGTGTGCTGGCGATCATCATTGATGCAGAGAATATGAACGCGTACAATCGTACCTAGGCTGTAGGCTACATGGGAACAACGACGTACTTGTGCGTGCGGAGCAGGGAGTCGGTACAATAATATGTCATGTACGTGGGACACTTGCCATCGTTGACGACGGGATAAACAGCCATGTACCGCCAATGATGTGCATGTATTTTGGAACCATTGTACTTTGCAGCCCAATCCCCAAGCGTCCGACAATAGATGTGCTTAATGGTTTATTACATTACTTGTATGCACTGCACTGTACATGGCTGTGCTAGCAGTAGCACACCGGCTAGTCATGTACATGAGTACAATGTAGCTGGGGATTCGTACGTGTACTACCGGTAAACCATGGATGCAGCGCAATGATTGTTTGGGGATTGGAACCAATGGAGTTTACATCATCACACCCGGCACATGCGCCTCAATGATCCGGCGGCAATTGTGATTGGGTCCACCAGATTTCAGGGATACCAACGTTCCGGAGGATCTGTGTCGCACGCGGCAATGTAACATCGCTGATATTCACATGATGGTACAATTAGATTTTACAATATCCACGTGTCACTGAACCTTGCCAAAAACGGAATTTACATTTCACAATGCAACTCAGTACTGTCAGATACGATACTGATGCATCGCACTGGCATCAGATCATTGGAACCAATGGTCAAAACATTGAGACTCGTGACCCATCTTCAGGACGAAGATAGCATGGGATAGAAGCAAATTATCTGAGCCCGTAGCCTAGCACAATATCTCCATGCATTGCGAGTACCTGTACAGTACTCGTATGTCTGCATTACTCCAGTATTTATGTGAAGCCCTTGCGTGATCGTCGGCAACTACACAGAGGACATTTCGGACCGCTCTACATGTCCGGTGTCAGTATGCCAAACAGTGCATCCAAGCACTGCGTGCAGTGCCTACATCCAAAGTGAAGTGCATTGACATTATCATTGCCATTGGGTGGACGCCGATCACCTCCCCTACTCATTGGAGTCACTTCGCAATACAATACAATGTCATGTACATGTACATGTACATGCACACAGACGACGTGAGCCATGCATGTGCAGTCACGAGAAAATGCATGTTGACGAAAAATGAGTTGTTTGTCAACGACTGGAATGCTAGGCCGCGCCTGGACTAGTTTGCAAATGTTATATCAACCTAAAAGGCACATCAAACCATGTCTGTATCAGGTCTGTAGCATACTGAATACATGTAATACTGGCATTGGCAGTATGTTTGTCTGCCTCTTTGTCTCAGTGGACATTAGTAGACATCAGTAGACATTATAAGGGAATGGTCATCTGCATGTAAAAGCACCTTCCTGCAGCGGAATGGTTGACTTTCCTGAAACTGGTTACACTTACAGTGGATCACCACGCACAATGCACGTACATGTACATAGACTAAACATGCATGTAGACTTCATCCTGGCACACAACCCAACTCAAGATCGGAATACGCAGGCAGCATGCAGCATTATACAGCATTTCGACGCGTTTGCTGTGCAGTGAAGCCGAGACCCTACTCCGTAGGTCGGCGGAGCACATCAGACCCCGTCACCACGTCCACGATTCATGCCTGCGATGCTGCACCGCTGCTTTGCATGTCATGATTGGAAGCTGTGGCCTTAGTAAAAAAAAAAAAAAAAAAAAAACTAGTAGTAGTACTGTACATTGTACATGTACCTCTTAAGCTACATATAACCACGCCAACATATTATCTACTGCACAGGCGCAGTGATGGCTTACCCACACTCCCACAGTAGAAAGGAGTATCTTCGTCTTGGAAATACCAATGATTATGTGTACCCGGACATTGATTTCAGCGCAGACAGTCTGCTATCTGGAGATAGTCGATATGAATGACAGTATCGTTTGCATGGACAAGTGTTTTACATGTACTACGTACATGTACATGTACGTGTGCTGCATACCTCTGAAGATGCTGGTAAACATACTAGTAACAAGAGTGTAGACCCCAGCCGAAACCAAACAAATGCAAATGATTATGATCTTTGTAGGTATAATACTCATCAGGAGCACACACCTCAGGCTCTTCAAGAACATTGTTTAAAAATAAATTCATGGGTGTTGTTAGGTACTCTTCTTGGCGCTGTTTATCACCTCTTCACTGTACATATTTGCAAATTCAAATTCATTGTTCTTCCTCTCATTTGGTTTTACCTGTATATCACATGAAGAGAAGGCACGAAAAAATTGCTTACTCTTGAAAACCATTTAGACATTGTTGTTGAGGAGCCTGAAGGTGGTGCTTCTACTGAATGCTTTAGATATTTTTGTCTCCAAAGAAACTGTTCAAGCAGCATTTGTCACGTTATACGTGCTTCTACAGTACTGTATCACTGTGCCTGAACAGAGATGGTGTTGGTTGGTTTACCAATATATTACTAGGTATTAAAACAGAGAGGTTCCAGGCTGTCCAAGAGAGTGCTCAATACCGAGTGGTAGAGCTGGTTCAAACAATAGGAGGACAGAGAAAGTGTTTTTACTCCGAGTTTCACGCACTAAGCGATCATCAGAAGACAGAAAAAATTGTTTGTTTTTATTACTAGGTATTCTCAACAAAGCATGTATCGCAGGTCTGAAAAGTGTGTTTCGTGCAGGCGCGGTTTCAACAACTGGTTTGTTCGTGGTGGTAATTCGGAAAGCGCGTTAGGAATGATAGAGGTAAGATGCATGCAGGAATATTTGCCGTGGTTGGTTATAAAAAACCTGCAGTCGCCACACGCACGGTTGTCATTGGCTGCCCCAGCCATGCATTGTTTGTAATAACACAAAAGCATTATGCTGTGCTGGCATTCAGATCTCCTGGTTGGATTTATTTCACTACATCTACATGTCCACGTACACTGTAGTCTCATTTGCAACCATCTCATCAAATGGATGGGTATCAACATCTCCTCAGAGCGAACTGGCACTGGGTCACTCATAGCATACGCGAGTAAGAGAGTACAGTGTCCTGACCGGCTGGACATCATCTCTCACCCCAGTCTCAGTTTCATACGTTTTTGTTAATCCTTCTGTTCTAGTTGATTGTTCCGAAATTGTTCCGCAACCTTCTAAATAAGTTTCCTTTTCTTCTACTTTACAATTTTTAAATTCTCCCTAAAGGATGGAGCCGCGCACTCTGCAGGAGCCGCGAACTCTGCAGTCTGGTCGGCTGAGCTTCATGGGCCCCACCTAAAAAACACCAGTCCTATAGTAAGTAGACTTTGTGGAGCTAGCGAGCTGTGAAGTGGCCGCTACTTGCACAAAGGCACATGCACCTAGCTCCCTAATAACGTTTGATCCTCGTCTTTGACCTCACACTCTACAGGTGAAGAACAATAATTGTTCCCTATCAGACATGCAGTTATTGTACGTAATAATTGTGTCGCA